CCCAAAATTCACATTAGGAAAAAAAGAATAGACTGAATCACCATGTCATTATTAATATAAATTGGTATTCTTAATATCATTTTATTCAAGTTAGCATTTTCACCTGAGAAGTGAGAGGCAGCCAATATTAATTTGTATGTAACATCACAGAGAATTATATAGATTGATAAAATAGCAGAAAATTAAAAAGTTATATACCATTACTTATTCTGCAAAACTGTCACCTAACAAAAATTTGAAGTAAATGACTTATAAAGTATTGGTATACATTTTAAAAACAAATGCCTAAGAATAATAAAAATACAAAAAATAGGTCTGAGTAAATTTTTCTTCATAATTCCAAGGTGGTATAAACAAAAAATCCTATCCATATTGTTTTTTAAAAAAATATATTTTATTGATTATGCTATTACAGTTGTCCCATGTTTTTTCTCCTCTTTATCACCCTCCACCCTGCATCCCCATAGCCTCCAGCATCCCACTCCACCTTAGTTCATGTCCATGGGTTGCATGTAATTTTTTTGGCTTCTCCATGTCCTATACTATTCTTAACCTCTCCCATTTATTCTGTACCTACCAATTATGCTTCTTAATCCCTGTACCTTTATCTCCATTTTCCACCTCCTCCTCCCCACTGATAACCCTCCATGTGATCTCCATTTCTGTGATTTTGTTGCTTAGTTTTTGTTTTGTAGGTTCATTTGTTGATAGTTGTTGTCATTTTACTGTTCATAGTTTTTGATCTCCTTTTTCTTAGATAAGTACCTTTAACATTTCATATAACAAAGGCTTGGTGATGATGAACTCCTTTAACTTGACCTTATCTGGGAAGCACTTTATCTGCCCTGCCATTCTAAATGATAGCTTTGCTAAATAGAGGAATCTTGGATGTAGGTCCTTGCTTTTCATGACTTGGAATACTTCTTACCAGCTCCTTCTTGTCTGTAAGTTTTCTTTAGAGAAATCAGCTGATAGTCTTATGGGAACTCCTTTGTAGGTACTCTCTTCTGTTGCTGCTTTTAAGATTCTCTCCTTGTCTTTAATCTTGGGTAATGTAATCATGATGCACCTCGGTGTGTGCTTCCTTGTGTCCAACTTCTTGGGAGACTGAGCTTCCTGGATCTCCTGGAAGTCTCTTTCCTTTGACAGGTTGGGGATGTTTTCCTTCATTATTTCTTCAAGTAAGTTTTCAATTTCTTGCTCTTCCTCTTCTCCTTCTGGTGCCCCTATGATTCAGATGTTGGGACATTTGAAGTTGTCCCTGAGGTTCCTAAGACTCTCCTCATTTTTTTGAATTCTTGTTTTCATTCTGTTCCAGCTAAATGTTTATTTCTTCTTTCTGTCCCAAATCACTGATTTCAGTCCCAGTTTCTGTCCCTTCACTGCTGGTTCCCTGTATATTTTTCTTTATTTCACTTTGCATAGCCTTCACTTTTTCCTCTATTTTGTGACCATACTCAACCATCTTTCGAGCATTCTGATTACCAGTGTTGTGAACTCTGCATCTGATAGGCTGGCTATCTCCTCACTGCTTAGTTCTTTTTCTGGAGTTTTGAGCTGTTCTTACATTTGGGCCATATTTCTTTTCTCAGCGCCGTTGTTACATTGTAAAGAGCGGAGCCTTAGGTATTGACCAGGGCAGGGTAACCCACTTCCCTGCATTGTGGCATAGTCTGGATGAACGTTTTTCCTTTAATTCCTTGGTTAAAGACTTCCATACAGTTCAGTTTTCTGGCAGTTCTGGTTGTTTTTGTTTTTAAATTTTTTGTTGTCCTTCTTTTGATTGTGAGAGGAAGCAAAGCAAAAATATCTGCCCATGTCTCCACCTTGGCCAGAAGTAAATCCTATCCACTTTGACCTTAAGAATATTTTCTCAGGAAAATTCCATCAAATTTAGAAAAAAAAAATAAAAATGTACCCAGTCTCAAGATTGTAAATCCACCAAAACAATAATAATATTATTTATAAAAATTAAATCAACAATGTTCTAATATGTCCAACTGAGATAACTATTTAGAACAGAAATAAGGGCAATTAATTCTGAAGTTTAATGATTAATGACAACTGTACTATGAAGTGAAGATTCTTTATTAAGATGGGTCAAATAAGTAGGATGGTATGTTTTAAAATTCCAATTGAGAGAACAGGAAAAAAAACAAAATATGATATAAAATGTAATTACTAATATTATATTCCAGTTTAATGATAAATAGAATTCCAAAATAAAGTAAAAAGCAGTTTATCTCCAATAAAAAAAACACTACTTATAAGTGTGGACCAGACCTAAAGTACTACAAGATGAAAATTTAAAAAAAAATTATAAAATTTATTTGAGCTAAACAGGGAGCAAGATCTCAACAGCCTGAGTAAAATGCTCCCATGATGAAAAGTTTTAATGAAAATGGGGTAAAAGTATACAATTAAATGCAATGCAGAAACACAGATAATAGGGACACATTATTTAATTGATAACAAGAAAATGGGGTATTTGGAAAACAGATTAAAAGTATGTACTGGTGGTAAGACCACTGTGATGACTTAACGAATCTCTGGAACTCATTACATCTGTATCCTACAAAACAGCTAAACTGATTACCTATCTTCTTAGCTAAAATATAATCAATATCATGGAGCATTTTATTCCAAAGCCAATAATCATTTGTGGTTATAGCTGCCTTGTAACTGTCCATGCAAAAAGTCTCTGAAGCAGAGGATTAAATGTTTCTGCTCCTTTTATCTAGTCCCCAAGATTCATCCTGCAAAGTGAATAAAAATTATCTTTTAATCTAACCCTTGCACACATATACCATTAAAACACACACACACACACACACACACACACACACACACACACACACACACACACAGCAGAGGGCAAAGATGAAAACAGAAAAATTCTTGAAGAGATGGGTAATTATTATCCACTTTGGAATTAAGTTCTCTGCAAGAAGATAAGATCTCTGTGCTCTGTCAAAGGGTATGTGACTGATGTGTCTCTTATTTTATAAAACCAAACCTTGGAAGAAAAGATCATTAACACAGACATATGGAAATTACAGTAATATTTTGAAGTAAATTTGAGAATGACTTGAATAATGCTTTTAGCTTTTGAAAAATCAGTGAAAACATAAGGATCTGTTTTTCTTGATATTTGATTTAGAAAAGTAATTTCAAATCCAAATAGGCTAGACAATTATATAAAAATAGCACTTAAGACAAAATGGCATTTATTAAGCAGTTTTTTAAAAAAGCTATTATGAGCACAGGTTAAGTTGTGGGAAGAGAAAGATAGAAAGGTTCTAGAGGAAGAGAGATGTACTCAAATCAAAGGCAACAGAGGGAAAACCATCATTAAAATATATTTAAGTATAAAGTTTATATATATATATAAAGTTAAGTATATATAAATTATATAGAGTATATATAAAGTGTGTGTGTGTGTGTGTGTGTGTGTGTGTGTGTATAAAATTAAAGGGACAAATGTAGGGAGGAAACAATACAATAAGAAAACTCACTGAAAATGTGCCAATGGAAAGGAGAGCTGAAATGGACCATCATAAAGGAGGTGAAATATAGTAATACTTCATTTACATGGCAGTGAAAAACAAATGCAAATGAATTAAAGTGCATTTTACAGGATATTGAAATATTTTGAAAGAAAAAACATTCAGGCCCTGATAGGTGTGGCTCAGTGCCTTGGGCATTGTTCCTCAAACTGAAAGGTATGGGAGACAACCACACATCAATGTTTCTCTCACTCCCTCCCTTCCTCTCTTCTTCCTTTCCCCTTTCTCTAAAATTAAATAAATACAATCTTAAAAAAGACATAATGGACAATGAGAGAATGGATTGCCTATTTAAGGGGAAAAAAAGAGAATTGAATAAAAATATGGTGACTCACAACAGCTGAAGCAAAAAATGACAAAATATTAAATTAGGGATTTGCAGTAAGTAGTCACCAAGGTATCAGCATGACCTAGAAACCTGCTAAACTCTGGGGGTAAGGCCATGAAATCAGTTTCAATAAATATTGTAGATGATTCTAATGAATGGTAAAGTTTGCAAACGAAGCTCTAATTACATTAGATACATGAGAAATCTAACTGCAAGATTAACTGTAATTAATTGAAACTAAATATGGCTTTTGTTATGGTGCGTGTGACATGAATATAAACAAAGTTATCGCTACTAAAAAGAATGTAATTTGGGAGTATTTAAATATCTGTGCATGTGCAAACACATACTGACACATTGTGTATAATAGGTGAAAAAGAATATTCATTTTAGGTAAGCAAAGTTAAAGTAGTTGAAGGAAAATAGAACAATTGCTAAATTAACAAAATTACCTTGTTATTAAAAAATCAAGAAAAAAATGAATGTACCTGGCTGAATTTTCTAGATAATTCTAAGATGAAAGTAAAAGTGAAAACTCAAAACTGTCAGTTCTTCAGATTTTCTACAGTCTACATAAATGAACTATTTTGAGAGACATTACATTCAGATATGCTTAGGTTATTACAGCACTAGAAACAGAAAGAAAGCCAGTTAGGTAGCAATTACCTATTACAATTAGATGGCAATGTTTCCATTACATAAACATAAATACATTTATGGACAATAACAATGAGTAATAAAGCAATGTAATTAAGTAGAAAAAATACTATGAATTTAAATTTTAACTACAATTATTTCCAAATAATATGGAAATTCCATTATTTCTAAAGAATATGGGCTATTGGATTCCTAAACATTTTTTTGATTATAAAATAAGGAGGTAGAAAAATAAACATTCAGAGAAAGACCTGTTGAGATTTGCCAGAAATTTCATTCCCAAGGTTAGCAAGTATAGTTATTAAAATAGGCATACATTTTGGCGGGAGGGAAATGATATTTTTCAGGTCACAGAAATTAATTTAAAAAAATATTTAACTTAAATAAAGTTTAATTAAAACACATTTAACAAAACTAAATGAAAACAAAATAAAATGTTGGTTACTCACCAGCAAGGGTGCTTGTATGCCTAAAAGCTCTGACCTGGGAGTCTGACAAACCAGTCAAAAGGGAGATTACTGTGTCCATCATATACTCATCATAAATTATGCTATATTGACACTGTCGAATCAGGACTCCAATAAACTCACAAAAGTTTGAACGAAATTTTTTCCACTGAGGTCCAGGCATGGTAAGGGGATAATCACCACTGTCCTAAAAGGGAGGTAAAAAACAAAACAAAACAAAACACAAGAAAACAGTAAATATCACATATAGTATCAATTTGATCAAAGTTTTTTTTCCTTCCTACCTATACAGGGACCTTTTCCTCCAAGTAGATGTAGAAAGAAATCGGAGAAGACTTACATCAGTACATTGATGCCTTTACCTTTTTTGTTTATTTATTTTGATCTTCCACACCTGAATAATTCTTAATGTACTGAAAATTATTACTTAGATCCAGTATTTAATTCATTGTTCTAACATTCATTTGAAATATTAGTTCCATTTTGTTGAACTTGGGTGCTAGCTGAGATAACTTGAAGCAGAAAACAATAATTTTTAAAGTTTAGACAGAAAACATATTTGCTATTGAATTCACATCAAACTAATCATGAAGCCTGTATCACATAGCATCTTTCAATTATTTTAAATAGAATTTTTAATAGTTGAGAATTTCAAAAGTATAAGCATATTATTAAGAAGTCCAAAACTAACTTTTTGTATGTGAAACTGCAACCCCATTTTTTCCAATTTTACTCTTCATTTAACTCTATTTTATAGAGAGGATTTGTAAATTTTTCAAAGATCTAATATATGCTCTTGGTATATCATCAGATTGGGTCATTTTGTTTAAAATACAAAGCTGACAACTGAACCCAACTAGTTAGAGATTTCCAAGTCTAGCGGAAACATTTTGGTAGATAAATGGAAATTCACAAGCCAGAGAGTGAAAAATTCTGTGAACATGGCTATCTGAATATTCAATTTGTGGCTGTTTGTCTTTTCGAGGCTAAACTGCACCTAGGAAAATTGGTTGTAAGTGAGGCCTTGAGCTCTGTTGGTACCCCAGAAAAGAGAACTAGTTGTCATACTTAGAACAGAAGATCCCAAGAGCAAGGAACAGAAAGTAGAGATTGGAAAGAGTTTGACAGTCAAATCCCTTAAAGAAAGTTAACACTGAGCCCTGGCTGGTGTGCCTCAGTGTACTGAGGGCTGGCCTGCAAACCAAATGGTCACTGGTTCGAGTCCTAGTCAGGGCACATGCCTAGGTTGTGGGCCAGGTCCCTGGTAGGGTGTGCACGAGAAGCAACCACACACTGATGTTTCTCTTCCTCTCTTTCTCCTTTCCTTCCCATCTCTCTAAAAAATAAGTAAAAAAAATTTTTTTAAAAAGAAAGTTAATGTTGATGTTCCAGGAATGTTACAGGGTTTACTAAACCTGAAAATACCAAAAAGAAACAGAGGGGCCAGTTGAATTTTCCTTGCCCTTAAGACTGGAAATATAGGGGGTAGAGAGGAGAGGGGAGTAGATTGGAGAGGTATCTTAGCAGGCTGTCTGCTGCTTCTATAGCACTAAAGCACACTAGGGCAGAGCTCCTGCTTTGTATACTGAGATTCAGCCATTCAATTGTTCACAACAACCAGAAGTATGCTCCAAGAAGACTACAAGGAAAATAATCCATCTAAAGAGGCCCAACAGCAAGCAAGAGGAAAGCAAGGCAGAAAACTTAGCACATATGAAAATAAAAATAAAAAGCTATATACAATTCTAAAGAGTCAAATGTGGCACAAAACAAAATTTGAAAAATCTCTAGGGAACATATTTTTTTCTTTTTTAAAAAATAATTTTAAAAACTAAGCTATAATTCCCATATAACATTAGTTGCAGGTGTACAACATGATTTAATATTTCTGTATTAATCATATTGCAAAATGATCACTAGTATAAGTCTAGCTAATATCTATCACCATATATAGTTACAATTTTTTTTGTTTTTTTCAAATGAGAACTTATAAGGTCTACTCATTGCACCATTCAAATATTCGATACAGCATCATTAACTATAGGCACCATGCTGTACAATATATCCTCTCTGCCAAGCACTCATCTGTTCTCTTTATGTATGAGCTTGGTGCTTTTTTGTTTCGTTTTGATCTCCCCTATATGTGAGATCATATGGTATTTGCCTTTCTATGTCTTTTTTCAGTTAGCATAATGCCCTTAAGGTCCATTCCAGTTGCAGCAAATGGCAAGATTTCCTTCCTTTTTTTTTAATGACCGAGTAACATTCCATTGTGTGTGTGCGAACACACAGGTTGTCCATATATGAAGATGAATATATCTAAAATATTTTATTTCTCAATTAAACAATTCAGTTAATGAACTGAAAGAAAGATTGTCACTAATGTGCAAGAAATAAGCTAAGAAAAAAGATGCAATTGGCTAGGTGGTATTTCTGGAAGAGCTTTCTAAAATGGACAAACTAAGCTAGTTTAATCTCTTCAGACTTTTGTCCTTTCTTATTTCACTGATTTGGAACTCGTATGTGGTGCTGAATGTTCAACAGCTATTTTGCATCCATAAAGGGTTAAGTATGGAAATAAAGAATGGAAAGATGGAAAAAGTAGAGGTCTTTGCCCTGTTGAGGTGGAATAAACCATGTACTGTGTATCCCTATATTTATTTTGCATCAGATAACCTGTGAATTCAAGCCATTGTTGGCTAGATTTTCTATTACTCACAGACAAATGCTTCCCTTCTGTTATGGTAGAATTATGAGCAGTGGAGAAAGAAAATTATTCAGTGAATGATTTTGGTACAACTAGCTGTTCATTAGAAAAAAAATAAGATATGTATTGCACCTTACACCAAAATAAATTCCTAATAAATCAAAACACTTTCACATACTCAACCAAAAAAGAAACAGCAGAAAACATGGGAGAATATTCTTAGAGCAGGGAAGTCTTTTTTTAAATAGAATACAAAAACCAGAAGTTATTATAAAAGACCAAAAAATTCACCCACCAAAAAGTAATTTTTGTATTACAGAGAGCATTTTTCTCTTTGTGCAGGCCTGAAAGAGATGATCTTCAACTGTTGGGGGAAGAGTAAGAAACACACCCAGCTCACCTCTCTTATCTCCTACAAAACTGAAGCATAATCTGATGAGAGGTTAGCAAACTGAGTCACTACCTCCACACAGGCAAAGAGCCCCTGCAGCTAGGAGAAGGATAGAGTTAAAAAATCCTCCACTTGGGGAAGAAAAGAAGACGAATACCAATACCAAAGGGATATCTGCTGGCACTGGGAGGAGGACAGGAAATGTGGTGTCACCTTCATCCAACCACACACATAAGGAGGAGTTGAGCTGCTATAGAAAGGAGGAATAGGAAAGCTGAAAAAGTCTCTCACTGACTCCAGCACACATGGAATACTTAAGACTTAGGAAAACTAGGACAACAGAGATTCTGCATGTCTTTATCACCGTAACAGACAACAAGCAACACCAGTCTACTACAAAAAGGAGGGACAAGAGTATGGGAGCAACAATGCAGGGGACAGGAGTGCACTGAGATCTTAAAGCTGAGGGTGCACCATCAACAATGAGAAAAAACCCTCTGGTACTGTAAGCACAAGGCAATAGCACCCACCATTAGAGATATCTGAACCTCATGATACATTAAAGATAATAAACACATATCTAGCTCAATTCCTACTAGATAGACAACACATACTTTTATAATTTTTGTAGTATGTACAAATATTGTGATTAAGAGGAAAAACATTTTAGGAAAATAAAAGGTAGTCTCCCATATCCACTTTAAAAGGCAGTTTCTTGCTTTAATACCAGTTATAAATTTCTCCTTGTTACACACATATACATGCCATGTAAAATGAACTGTCTAGTTAATGACAAGCAGTAGGTATTGAAAACTAGCTCCCTTCGCAAAGTAGTAAAGTCTCTTTTTTTTCAGGAGAGCTGAGAAAACAAAATAATGATAAAATAAAAATAATCAAGTAGTGTAAATGCTCTGTCCACAATTAATATTTAAGTTCTTTGAGGGCAATCTAACTATGATGCTTTTCACAAGAAATTTATTGAACAAACATAAAAAATAAACCACATCAAATAACCAACAGGCAGAACGGCTGAGAAAAGCTTACAGTAGGAAAAATATGAGGCAGAAATCTGTAAGAAAGATAAAACAGAGCAAACCAAATAGTCTAATAAGAAAGCAGTCCCTCCAACCATGTTAAGGTAAATACAAGGGGAGAAATCTCCATGTAGTAAAATAGTTAGCATTTATATGATATGTACTTTTCAGGTATAAAATCTTGTAGTATCATACACTGTGGTGATTACTGGTATCTATAAAGATGAGAGAAATAAAATCTTAATACAGTAACTTGTCCTAGATATTAGAGCTACAAAATTCTGGTTCTTGGAATGTAAAGTCCATGTATTCTCTACTCAACAGCAAAGCTTCACTTGGTTCACTAAGGGTACCTAGGAGGACCAAAGAATTGCTCTTCCAAGAAAAGGAAGACTGGGGCTCTGATCCTAAACAGAGAGACAGGCAACTAATAAAAGTCAGTTTTAAAGTTTGTGAACACTGATGGGGGAGCAGGGAAGGACAAAATGTGCCGAACTTCAGAGATGAGATCCAGCAACAAAAACTGGGTTTACAGCCTCTAACTGGGATGAGGACAATTTTTGAGAGCGGTCCAGGTAGAGCAAGGTAGAGCTCATGCAGCAAGCAGAGGTAGAAAGCTAACTGCCTAATTCCACAGCATTTGAATTTTATAGTAGCCAAGAATGATTGTATTGGGTTGGCCAAAAGATCCATTTAATTTTTCTGTAAAATAAAAAGACGAATTTTTCACTTTCACCAATAACTTTATTGATTTGGATATTTTGAGTTTGTCGGCCATGTCGCATGTAGAACATTGATTGTTCTCAATTAATATCTTGATTTGATCTCTATCAACTTCAACTGGTTTACCCAACCACAGAGCAACTCAGTGAGAATCACCAGCTTGAACCTTGGCAAACCAATTCTGATATGTTTGATTAGTCACAGCACCGTCTTCCAAATACTCCATAAATCATTTTTTGTTTCAGTTGTGTTTTTACCTTTCTTGAAATAATAAAGCATAATATGCTGAAAATGTGTATTTTCTTCCATCTTCAGTATTAAAATGGTTACAC